AAAAAAAGAACATCCAAGAGCTATCCTAAACTATGGAAGCTCTGAGAGTGCAGATTGACACAGTATGGTGATGTGAACCAAAGGTGTGGGAGAGTTTATCTCTAAATCAGTAAAGTTCAGTTATGGGGAAAGTAACAGATGCACATTTTAAGGGAGGTGAAAGTAGTCCCAAGAGTGGGGAAAGATGACAAAGGAAGGCGGCAAAGATAAATTCTCTCATAATATTTGCTCAGTCCAGAGAAAAATGGCCAGCCTTACTGTTGGTTCTGATGCAATTTAATGAAAATAAAAACTACACAATACAAGCCAGATGCTGGAAAGGACAAAAGACAGGTCTTCATTTGTCTTGCTAACCTTACTATTTAGTGATTTAACATGTTGGCAAGTCCATGTGCACACACATAAGAGAGAGCATATACTAGGAAAGGCAGCAGCAAACAGATGGCACTTGAATTGGTCCCTGAGTAAAAGATGAATTTTAATAATTTATAGGAGATTGTAGGGTTTAGGGAAAGTTTGGTTTGGGGTGAGGAGCTGGGTAATGGGAAACAAAGAACAGTCTAAGTAGATAAAGGAAAGGAACAAGAAATTATTCTATTTATATCTTCTTTTATTCTTAAAAAAATGTATAAAAATACTATGACTACTCTCTGACTTCAATAGACCAGTGGCTCCAAAACACTATCTTCTCCTTTGCCTTTGGACAGGCATTATTAGCTGAAGAACAATTCTTTAAAGAGGAGCCTGTGAGTTGCAGTGTTGGAGAAGAGTACTGAATATTCATCCCATGAAATGCCAAAAGAATTAACAGATATGTCTTAGAAAAAGTGCAGTTAGCGTTCTCACTCTGTGAGGAAAGGCTATCCATTGGAAAGGGATATCATGCTTGGAAAGCTGGAGTCAGTGAAAGAGAAGACAACCTCCAAGGAGATGGACTGACACAGTGGCTGAAGCAATTGGCTCAATGTGTCAGAGATGATGAGGACGGCACAGGATAGGACAGAGTTCAGGTCTGTTGTTCATACAGTTACTCTAAGTTGTACTTGACTCAACAGGCCCAACAGTAACAACAATACTACATTCTAACAATCTAAGATATTTGTCAAGAAGACAAAGATTCTCACCAATTGGCAGCATCAGGATGGATGGTAAAGAGATTGAGATTGAAATTGTTAACAACTTTTGTTGGCTTGGCTCCACAGTCAACACTCTTGTCACCAGTAGCCAGGAAATCAAAAGACGTATTGTGATGGGAAAGTCGGCTGTTAGGGAGCTCTCCAGGGTGCTGAAGAGCAATGGTGTCACTGTGAAGAAGGTGCGTCTGATAGAGGCTATGTTTTGCAATCACTTGTTATGCATCAGAGAGTTGGACAATGACTAAGAAGGACAGAAGGAGAATTGATGCCTTTGCGCTGTGGTGCTGGAGAGGAGTATTGAATGTACCATGGACTGTCAAGAAAACAAACAGATTCATCCTGGAGAGGGTTAAACCAGACTGCTCCTTGGAGGCAAGGATTCTGGGGCTTCATCTGACATACTTTGGACATGTTGTAAGGAGAGACATGTCCTTGGAGAGGGATTATCATGCTTGGGATGGTTGAGGGACAGCACAAGAGGGGAAGACCCTCTATGAGGTGGACTGATTCAGTGACTGGGGTAATCGGGATGGGTGTGTCAGAGGCAGTGTGACTGGCACAGGATAGGGCAGGGTTTAGGGCTGTTGTACACAGGGTCACTATGAGTGGCAAGCAACTCAATGGCACATAACAACAACAAGAGAAAAAAAATTACCTATTCTTAAAAATAACAAAACAACTGTAATCAAATTTTATTTCTAGCAAAGACCTAAGAGACGTTAATAGAAATGAGAAACCTCGCATTTCAAATACACTAAAACCCCCCAACTACTTTAGCAAGCCCAGGTTGTAGAAGAGGAAAAGATCAGGAAGCACAACTAACCTGACCACAGTGCTTCTTTGCTTCAGACAGCTGTGCAAGGCAGGATCAGAACACCATCTGCATGGAAGCCGAGACAAGAACGGAACTGGCAATGTAAATCAATGAGCTCTTCTTTCCAATTATTTCCCTCCCCCTTCTTTCTGTGTTCTCCTTTCTATTTCTTTAATACTATCTTTGTTGTTTCCTCCGTTCTCCTTCTTAAAACTTTATTGTGCTAAAATATATAGAACATAAAGATTATACATTGGATGGTAGTCATGATGGAATAAACAAAAACTGGTGCCCATGGGTTTCTAGACTTATCCTTACTCCTTTAGTGATGTACAATTGGGATCTCCTATATTTTTTTTTTTTTTTGATCTCCTATATTTTTGTTCTCTCCTTCAATCATTGTTAACTAGTCTAAAAGGTCAACAAATAGTTGTTGTAATGTGACATTTTCAAAGTGTATAACAACTTGACAAAGACATTTTGCCTTATGGTAGTAGTACCTCTGGAGCAAGGGTCTCACAGTATCCCAATATTGCTGGAAAAGCACAAACAAATTTGTGGGTAAAGACAGATAGCTACAGAGAGCCTTGTACTCTCCTTCTTCAGAATCTGCAAGAAAGAAAATTGCATTTAATATAAGCACAATATTCTTACCCTGTCAACCTGCTAAAAAAGAATTTCTTCGTAGTTTATACTTTTTAAAAGAAATATAAAAAACCCCAAAAACATAAAAACAAAACAAAAAAAAAGAAATGCACCTTACATTCAATTGAAAGTACCTTGCACTTATGATGGACGGATGCATCAAGGTTTTGCAACACATTTTAATGTAAGAGGTGTTGCACATGGGAACACTGACTAGATAAAAATAACATAACAGGAAAGCTTGTTATCTAGAAGCTGACTCTTACCAGTGACCCCTTGACTCTAGATAGCCAGAAGAAAATTCACTAATAAATCCACTTGGATTATAACCTGTCCCTTTTCCAGTTTCCAACCCATGTATCTAATTCTCAGGTAAAAATAATTTTGGAAGCAGGAGTGGCATCCACTTCCTAAACAACATACTCTGGAAACTATGAACTGTGATCAATGACAATCGTTAATAGAAAGGCTTCAGGCCTTTTGTTCACAGGACCACTATGAGTGGGGCTCAACTTGTCAGCAATCAAGAATAATGACTCATGTATAAAGATAATACCTTGCTAAAAACTTCTAAAGTAAAGTTAACTAGTCAGTAAATGAGGCAGAAATCACACAACAAAAAGAAGGAAAAGTCTAAAATGTCATTTTCTAGAAAGAATCCATAGTTTTTCAAAGCAAGTGAAAATCAACCAACCAACCAGCAACAACAAAAAAAACCCAACTCAAAACTTCTAATCATATTAGAAATAATTCAGCTATAGATTTTGAAATCTATACACAAAAGTACATATGCAATTGAGGCAAATATTCTGCTAATACAATTGACTTACTGCTGAATTTTGTATACTGTTTGTCTAATATTAATAATTATAAAACAGAGTAGTGAACTAGTATTTGGAACAATGCTTAGAGTTTACACTAATTTTTTATAAGTTTTAGAAATGATATGTAGAGTATACTTTTTAATTCTATGTATTCTATCTAGAAAATCTATCATCTTGATAAGCTAAAGGGACCCTTTTAAAACATAAGCACTATTAAATCACTCTCCAGATCAGAGCCCTCAAATGTCTTAACTATCAACACAATCCAAAGTCAACCCATTGCTCTTGAGTTGATTCCAACTCATAGTAACCCTATGGCAGAGCAGGACTGCTTTACAGAGTTTCCAAGAATGTAACTATGAAAGCAGACTGCCTTATATTTCTCCCAGAGTAGCTGGTGGATTCTGATCACCAACCTTTGGGTTAGCAGGCAAATGCTTAATCCACTGCACCATTTGGGCTCCTGTAATCATGCCACTTATTATTATATACAAAGTCCTTATCATAAATTGTTGTTGACTGCCTTCATTCATACGATTCATAGTGACCCTATGAACAAAAGGCCTGAAGTCTCTCTACAGCTATCAACTTTTATCAAATTTCATAGTTTCTGGAGGCATGTTATTTAGGAAGTGGATGCCACTCCTGCTTCCAATATCATGTATTAATTTATCTAATAAGTACTATTATTGTTATGCGCCATTGAGTTAACTATAACTCATAGCAACCCTATGAAAAACAGCTCTGAACCTTGCCCTATCCTGAGATGACCTCACTGCCACAGTCACTGTGTCAATCCATCTCAACCAAGGCCTTCCGCTTTTGTGCTAACCTTCTACCTTTCCAGGTATAATGTCCTTTTCCAAGGACTGGTTCCTCCTTAAAACATGCCCAGAACAGAGCTTCAAAATCTTTGCCTCCATGGGGAGAGGAGGTGGGCAGGGAGAAAAGTGCAACAATGAATGAATGGAAACCCTAAGTTTTTGTAAACTTCCATTAAAATTAATTAAAAAAAAAGTCACAAAAAAGAATGGGAATAATGTAAAAAAAAGAAAAAAATCCTTGCCTCCAAAGAACAACCAGGTTTCACCATCTCCAGGACAGACCTGTTTGTTTTCTTTGCAGTCCATGGTATGTTCAAGATTCTTCTCCACAACTCAAAGGCATTGATCCTTCTGTCATCCTCAGTCATTGTCCAACTCTCTGATATATAGCAAGTAATTGTGAAGACCATGGCCTGGATCAGGCACACCTCAGACTCTGTACTAACACTGTTGTTCCTCAATACTCTGAAGAGATACTTGACAGCAGATTTTCCCACTGTAACTCATCTTTTAATTTCCTGACTGACAGTGCCAAGGGTATTGATTGTGGATCTGAGCAAAATGAAATCGTTAACAGCTTCAGTATTTTCTCCATCTATCATGATGCCACCTAATGGCCCAGTGGTGAGGATTTTTGTTTTCTTGATGTGGCGATGCATCACATATTGAAGGCTGTAGTCTTTGTTCTTCTACAGCAAGTGCTTCAAGTCCTCCTCATTTACAGTGAGCAAGGTTGTGTCATCTGCATAATGCAAGTTGTTGGTGACTCTTCCTCAAATCCTGATGCCACATTAGTCTCCATCAAGTCCAGCCTCTTGAATGATCTATTTCATCTTAATTTAAAAAACCATCTCAAGAACAGGTCTGAGGTATTGAGTATTGAACACTAGTGAATGAAGACCAGATTATGAGCTATGGGACAATATCAAGGATATCATCCACAAAGAAAGCAAAATGCCATTACAAAGATAAAGAGGAAGAAAAGACCAAAATGGCTATCAGAAGAGATTCTGAATATTGCACCAGAATGACAAGGAGCCAAAATAAAGGGGAAAAATGATGAAGCTAAAGAACTGAACAGAAGATTTTGAAGGGCAGCTTATGAATACAAAGCAAAGTATTATCATAAAATATGCAAAGACCTGGAGTCAGAAAATCAAAAGGGAAGAACTCTCTCAGTATATCTCAAGCTAAAAAACCTAAAGAACAGAGTGCCAGGGCGACGCAGCGCGAGGGCGACGCAGCGCGAGGGCGAGGCCGCCAGATGGGGGAACGCCGCGAGAGGGACCCAGAAGAGACCCGGGAAGAACAACAGCCAGTCACCCCCCGCGGAACTCCAGAGGAGCGAAGACTGTGAGACCCCAGAGGAAC